AACCCAAAAAAAAAAAAAAAAAAAAAAGACCCCGCTGGACCTAAAAAAAAAAATTAAAAAAAAATGGCTTCCTCTGATGTCCTAGAGACAATAATTATGATGTGCTAGTTAAGCCCAAACTACAGCTGAGGGATTTTACTTTAAAGCAGTGGCTTGGGCGCAAAAATACATTTATAGCTCTTTGTCTGCACCTCATTATGTGTGGGCCTGATTCATTAAGTAATTGGTTTGCAGTTGTTTACATGAGTATTAAGGCCTTCTTTTCAGCCGCCTTTGAGAGATACATTGTGCAAATGTTGCCTGCGATGAATGCAGAATGAGGGCCAGAGGGTCCGTCCTATTGGCTAAACAGTGCACTCTGTTGAAAAGCTAGAGAAAGGGATTGGGTGCTGCTTTGCATAGCAATGGCTTTCTTAATAAGCGTTTCAGATTAATACACACAAGCTATAAAAGATGCAAAGAGATACTCTTAGCACATTTATACATGCTCAGTTCATTGTGATGGTGGTGCGGTCCGGGTGCTTTCATTTTCCGTTTTTCAGAGCAGCAGCCTCAGTGCATGAGCCGTAATAGAATCCGATGTTTATTGTATTATAAATCGCAGGCAAGCAGGCAGATCGGCAACAGTTTATTATTAAAGATTCTTTCAGTGTAAATCTTTTTCTACCATTGTATCTGCTTCGGCAAAATCATTTTGTGGTTGAGTGGGGATGAAAGGCATAATGTACGAAGGAGTGAGTCCTAATAGGAGGCTGTTCTCCAAGTAAAGACCACTTGTTCCCTTTTGTTCAGGGGTGCATGCCAGTGCTTCCTCTCCTCTGCAAGCATTGTCTTGCTTTACCTTCCCCAGGAAGCGCTTTCACTCTCCCGGATCCATTTATTCAATGGAGGGTATATTTTAACAGCCTGTCGTGTAACTTCAGTTTACTGGTTGGATCGAGATAACGTTTTACTGAAAGAAAAGGATGTGTGCTTACAACATAATTGCTGGGGGGTGGGGTGAGGGAAGGTAGCAGAGGTCACCCAGCCATCGCAGGCACCCTGGCAGGGCCTCCTTGGGTGGCATTCTGTGCCAGCCCTGCAGCCACAGGAGTGGCCAGCGGAGGGCGCCAGGCTGCAGCTGATGCTCTGGGGAGCTGCGGTATTTCTTCTTGCGTGGTCACTCTGCCATTTCCCCCTGGGGTGATATGAAGATCACAAAGAAATAAAAATGAGATTTTCTGGATGTCCTTTAGGTTCTCATCTAAAAGCCCCCATCTGCATCTCTGGTTTAGCAAATCTTCATTCTCCTACTGAATTAGCAGCTTCCTAAATAATCCACATGCTTTGCATCATAAACTAATATAGTTTTATTTTCTGCACAGAGCACGAAAGAACAGTGGCTTGATTAGCTGAAGGAAAGGAGTTAGTTAACAAGTTGACCTCAGGCAGCTAAAAAACTGGCATCTGCTGCAGGGTCCCTAGTCAACCATCAGGGGGCGCTCAGACTTTGTTGAATTAGACTGTCTCAGACTTTAATCTGCCTCTAAAACTTAAAATTAGTACAGTATTTACAAAGATTTTTTCACGCACTTATTGGGAATGTTTTTTCTTTCTGGATTATTATTATTATTTTGCCTTTTACTTTTCAGAAACATGTCTGTTTTGAGGAAAATTCTAGCTGATGATGCTATGTGAGACATTTTAATACTGATTTTTAGCTAGCAGTCAAAATCACTGAAAATTATAGAATTCAGCATCTAGAGACCACAAATTCTCATAATTTAGTTATTTTCCAGTTTATACCAAGACCCTAGAACTGGACTTTAGGACATTAGTTCTGCTGTTTTCCAAATCCTTCTCCCTACAAGCCAACAATGAGCATCAATGCCCTAGCCTATTCTACCTCTGCTGCTGCCAGTCAGGAGTTCCTGTTGCTTACACCCACCAAGGACTGAGTGGCCTGCACTCTGCAATGCCCTCCCAGCCAGCTCCCTTAGGTCCCTGTGCTCACGGGACAGCCACATGTCACCTCATACAGCATGTTCTGCCATATGTGCCAGCTTTTATTCCTGCTCTTTTGCTGGAATGTTGCTGCCTCACTCTCACCTGGCTGATGCCTGCTAGATTTTCAAGGCTTAACTTTTAACCTTCTGAAAGTTTCCTAAGCAGAGACCCTGGTCCTATGGCTATTTCTGTTATATCATCTGTAGCACAGGGGGGAGGTACCCTTCCCCCACCGTGAGCTCCTCACTGAGGTTTGGGGGGCTTTTCTCAATCACCAGTGCTCAATAACATTGGACTTTCTGAGTAAGTGATCATCAATATATAGCTCCACCATTCACTCAAATGTCATTTTTTTATAAAAGCCACTTGCACAGTTGCCCTCACTTCTGTATGGCATCATGTACTCAAGCAGCGGAATCACACACTCCATAAAGTTATCTGCATGAGAGTGCAGGAGAGGTACCCAGGAGAGGCCAAGTTGCAAACCAAAGCTAGCTGTCACTAGTTCTGGGCCTGGGACCACTTAGCAAGAGGTACTGGGACTCAGAGGCCAGATGCTGCTTGTTTGAAAGATTTTAGGAAGGTCCAAAGCATGAGGCAATAGAGGCTATTTGTATGGAGAAGCCACTGGAAATGGCTTGGATGGGCTGGCAAGTTGAGTGGGGCGGGGTCTCAGGGAATCACAGGGTGGGGGGTTGTCGAACAGTGTGAGTGGCCAAGTTGATGGAGACTCAGATATGATACCTGCCTGTCAGCTTTGTGGGGGAATGGGAGGCTTCAGAAAAGGAGCAGTGGCCTCTGCCAGCACTTTATCTGGCAGAAAGCTGCGCCCCCATCTCTTGCCTTGATACCAGAAAATTCAGTGCCTCCGTGTATGTCCCTGGTTCCTTCCGAGCTGCTGTCCCAGCACTGGAGCTCCGAGGGAGTGAGTCCAAGTAAGTCCCTGCAGGGGCCCTTTAAGAGGAGCTGCCTGGGACTGCAGCAGCCTCTGTGTCACTCAGCCTCAATCCCTGCTGGTTTTCACAGCCAGAAGTTGTGGGACTTCTCTTCTTGGCTCTGGAGCCCTGGGCTGGGAGGCCTGGTGTGGGGCCGGGACCCCTCGATCCTCAGGGGGGACTTCCACAGCTGAGATAACCCTCCCAATTCTAAACCTCCACAGGTGGGTGTAGGATCGGCCTGTTCCTCGTCTCTGCCCCTCCTGCCAGTCTCAGTGTGGCTTCTTTAAATCCCTAGTTGTAGGACTTTCATTCAGCTCAGTTTTAGGTGGTTCTGAGTGATGGTTTTTCTGTAGTTTAGTTGTAATTTTGATGTGGTTGTGGGGCTGAACATTGAAGAATTTAAGTGTAATTTAAAAACTGAATGATGCTCCCACTGGGGACTTTTAAATTAATTAAAATTGCAAAGGCTCTTGAAAAGGAGCACTGAGATGGGCATCACATCCTACAGGGGTTTATTGGCCTTAGGAAACACGCTGCTAGGTATTCAGAGCCATCGACACTTGGATTTTTATGCATGTGATACATGGAGACCTAAACTCCCTACTTTAGGGATTTCTCTTTTAATTTGTCTACAAGTGCTAAAGCTTTACAATTAGTGCTTTCCAGAGATGGAGGGGAAAGCAGTCCTCTGCCCCACTGCCATGCATTCATCCTCCAGAAACAGCACAGCACAGTGCCCTGTGGCACATGTGGGCCGAGTGGAGTTGGACCCAGCAGCTGCGGAGCCAGCCCTCGGGGAAGCAGGGCTGCTGTCGCAACAGGGGCCCTCCCCACAAAGCATCAGGAACACCTCTGGCCACAGCGGTCCTGACATTTTCTTTTTGCTTTAGAAAGTTGGGGAGTAAATGTAAAATTTCTGGCCTTTCAGTGAATAACATGCTTATTTCCTAAGGTGCTAGATGTAAAATATTAGTCTGGTTACCTTTTCTGTAGAACTCAGGCTGTTTCTCTGTTTTACAGCCATGAAAACAAGAGGAAACTAACTACTACCTTAAAGTCTAAAGGTAAGAGAAACAACTGGAGGCCGGACTGTCTTTCTGTGTTTTGTCCAAAAGACCTGTTTGTGGCATGTCTTGTTTTCTTGTGTGAGGGCTGTGAAGCACGCCTGTGGTCCTGAGGGCAGCCCTTGCTGCCCTCCCTGGGGTGATGCTGTCTCTGAGGGGTTGGGGGACTTCAGTGACAGGGCTGTGACCTGTGAACACACGGTGCCATAGGTCAGAACCTAGCATTTTAACTTGCAAGTATGAGTATGTGGGAGATCCTGACCTCCACATGACTGAGTACCAACCCCCTGTATTCCACCTCTGAAGTGTTGCTCTGTCCCCATCCCCACTGCTAACACCCTGCAGGTGCCCACTGCTCAGGACAGGACAGAGCTCTTGCAGGAGACTCAAACTGGCCTCTCACATCCAGCCCTTCCCGACTCCTGACTGTCCTACAGCTGCCCGCGGCATCTAAAACCTCATCTGATCTCCTTCCCTTCCTGAATAGGAACTGCCGATGCCTCCCCACTACCTACAGGATAAAGCCCGTAACTTTCTCCTTTGGTCTGGCCCCATCCCTGCTCTCCAGCCCAGTTCTTCCCAGACTCCTGTTGTCTGTGGGTCTGGTCACACCAGCTTTTTCCAGATATACCACACTTGCACTCTCTGCCTTGGCTCATGTTGTTCCTTCTCTGCAACTTTCCTTTTTTCTTTTCCTCAGCCTAGCGAGCTCCTATTCACCCCCCAACACCCAGTCTAACCTTCCTTTCACACTAACATTGTGGCATGTTCCCCGCTGAACTTGGGCTCTCTCTACTCCTGTCACCTTAAACCCACTTCCAGTGGTTTGTAATTGAGAGCATAGGTTTGCGTCAGGCCACGAAGGTGGGACTCCTGGCTTGACCACCCACTAACACTGATTTGGCCAGTTACTGAACCTCTTGCAGCCTTCATTTGATCAGTAAAACAGAGATATCAATAGTTACCTTACCAGGTTGGTGGAAGGATTAAATGGAGTCATATATAAGAAGCCATCACAGAGCTGGCAGATCGTGCCATGTAGATATTGGTAGTCATGTACATTGTCAATGTAGCAGACAGTATGCCCTACCCCATCCTGTCTGATCACTTTGAGGGTCACTTCAAAAGTTCACTAACATGTCCTTGGTCTTCTACATCAGGCCACTGTGCGTCTCCACCTGAGGGCTTTATCTGGCCACAGGAGTAGATAAAGCTCCTTTCTCACAGGGCAGCCCTAAGTGCCAGGGAGTTGATGCCCTGGTTGAGAACAACCCCGAACAATGAGACATGAGAGTTGGTGTGTAAATAACCTCACACCGTCATTCTTTCTCGGGACAATTCGAGGAGAGTTCCACAGTCTCTCAGAGGCCCCCACGGGACTGAGCCCTAGGTTTCACCACTGCCAGCCTTTCTCATTAACACCCTCTGCGGGTTCCTCCCTTCCCTGTGTCACTCTCCCAGTCCCCCCAGCCCCCATTATTCCCAAGATTACCTCCCAAACAACTCTCATGCACCCAGACCTTTGTGTCAGTGTAAACCATGTCTCCCTTCCCTCTGCTCTTGTGAGGAGCAGAAGAGACCAAGGTGGAGAGGCAGCTGAGTGAGGTGGGGTCCGACCTGACAAAACACCCTGCTTCTGTGCTAATACTGATTTCAAATCCCAATCCTACAGTAAAGAGCTGGACACAACAGAAGGGAAAAGAAAGTATTCTGCTAAGTGTTTTCCATAACAGTATAGAACACACTGAAATACGTAAATCTGTGCAGTATTGACATGCATTCCAGGTGTATCTGGTCAGGTACATCACATGGGGTCCTTAGTAGGCCTTTTGCAAACCGGTGCACCAATTAACCAGTCCAGCTGATTAAACCGGGCTATTCAGGGTACAGAAATGTTAAACAGCTGTCTGGTTTTCTCTTCCAGCCTTCTGGGGTGAGTCTGATGACAGTAACTCAGAAATTGAAGCCGCTTTACGTCCTAGAAACCATAACACATCCACAGATGATTTTGATGATTTTTATGACTAATAAGCTATAACAGCTGTTGAAATAAAGTATCTAAACAAATTGAAACCCTGTCTTCATATGTGATTTCCAAACTAAACATGTCCTTTTAAGTTTTCTGATTGTTTAATAGGAAAACTTGGGTCCACATTGCTATTCTACTGAAACTTTATGACATAATTAGAAACTGGCATATTCATTTTTCAGTACTGTCAAAAAGCAAAGTGATGAATGCAGTGCCCAGTAAAATTCAAATTGTTTTCTTTGTAGAAAATGACACACTGATCCTCAAATTCATATGGAAATTTAAGGGACCCAGATATGCCAAAACAGGTTTGAAAAAGAAAAAAAAAAGTTTCAAAACTGAATGTGAAATACAGAGCTTCCCAGACAAAAATCAAAAGGCTAAAAGAGTTCATTACCACCAAACAAGCATTGCAAAAAATGTTAAAGGACTGCTATAAGAAGAAAGAGAGAGAGAGAGAGGAAAATACATATAAAGAAAGAAATGGCAATAAATAAGCACCTATCAATAATAATTTAAGACTGGACTCATGGCAAGAGTGCTCGAGACAGTGGGAATAAATGGTGACGGACGGAGACTTGACTTTGAGTGGTGAACACACAATACAGCACAGAGGTGATGTGTTATAGAATCACACACGTGAAACCAACAGGTACATGAAAAGGTGCTCAGCATCACTAAACATCAGGGAAACGTAAATCAAAACTATAATGAGATATCATCTCATACCTGTTAGAATTGCTGTTATTAAAAAGATAAGAAATAACAAGTGTTGGCAAGGATTTGGAGAAAAGGGAATCCTTGGGCACTATTGGTGGGAATGTAAACTGGTGCGACCACTATGGAAAACAATACGAAGGTTCCTCAAAAAATTAAAAATTGAACTACCATATGATCCAGTGACATCAGGAAAGAGGTGCTTTCATATACTTTGAAGAGCACATTTATAATATGAAGTAAAGTTGCAGATGGCATACATACCCTAGGACGCTATGGTTCCATCTCTAAATTTACACTCTGGAGCAGCCACACTGTCCAATACAGTAACCATTAGCCACATGTGACTCAAGCACTTGAAATGTGGCTAATCCAAACTGAGAAATTCATATTGGATTTAAAGACTTAGTAGTAAAGAAACAGTGTAAGATGTTTTGTTAATTTGTTTTTTGTTTTTATTGTTGAGAGTAATACAGATGTCCCCCACTTCTCCCCTTTACCCCTCTCTACCCCTCTTCCGCCCCACCCCAGGCCCCCACCTGTCCATTGTCTGTGTCCATGGGCTGTTCATATATAATAAAATGTATATATTGGATATCTTGAGTTAAAATGTATTATTAAAATTAATTTTATCAGTTTCTTTTTACGTTTTTTAATGTGACTACTAAAAATTTTAAAGTGTATATATATATAACTTTAATTTGTGGCTTTATTATATTTCTATTGGACAAAGCTGCTATAGAGAAACGCTGTTTTACACCAAGAAACAGGTTCAAAATTTTAATTGTAGTATTGCTTGAAATAGTAAAAATTTGGAAACATTAGTGCCCACCAGCAGGAAAACAATAAGAAACATTGCTGGAGGATTTATACAATTAATAAAATATATGTAAAAGTGAAAAACACACAATAATATATTGTGTTGTTTATAGAAAAGGGTTCCTCTATTGTAAAAGTGTAAAACATGGATGGAAGAGATTTGTGAGATTTTCATGAATGTGATTAGCTCCAGAGAAGAAAAGAGGAGAGGACGGCCAGTATATACAGAGAACTTCAGTGAATCAGTAAGAGCTTATTTCTTTCTATTAAAACACATTCTCTAGGCAAACAGAGCAAAATGTCAACATTTGTCAAATCTGGGTGGTGGCTTCATGTTATCTGTGTTATGTTCTCTGCATTTTTGTTGTTTAATTGATTTTAAAATCAATTTTTGAAACTGATTTTTTAATTGATTTTTAGAGAGAGAGAGAGAAACATGAATTTGCTGTTCCACATATTCATGCATCCACTGGTTGATTCTTGTATGTGCCCACAACCTTGGTGTATGGGGATGATGCTCTGGCCAACTGAGCTACCTGGCCAGGGCATCTTCTCTGCATTTTTGTGTGTTTAAAATAGTTCATAATTTTTAAGAGAAACAGGTTATGGAGAGTTTTGTTCCTCGTGCTAAGGACTTTGCACTTTCTTCCTTTGGTCAATGTTTGGAAACCACTGAAGGGCTTTAAACAGGGGAGAGATTTCCATTTAGAGAGAACATTTTGGCAGTCTTGTTTTAGGCTCATCCACCCACCAGCTAATGAAAGTCAAGAAAACTATTTCATTGCTCCTGGCACACACTTTCCCCTGCATTTAAACAACTCTGAAATTGGGGTGTATCCCTTTGGACAGTCAACAGTTAGGGCATAGGTGTCCTTGCCTGTCATTGTCACTTGCAGAATGGGTATCAGCCACTTGGGGGAAAATCCCGGAGACAGTGGTGGAGCTTTCTCAGTGCTGCATCACCAACGCTTCTCCTGGCACAGAGTGCGATAAGGTGGGGACACTGATATCAGTGACTGAATCGAGCGATTTAGAGGAGCTAGATTCTGTAGGGAGTTTTGGGAAGCATTGGCCTTGTTTCACTGGCCTGTATTTGCCTTTTTATATGTGCACAACCGCGGAATGATTTTTTTAATTTTTAAAAACTGGTAAAATACACATAAATTTACCATCTCAGCCATTTTTAAGTGTACAGTTCAGTGGCATTCAGTACACTCACACTGCTGTGTAACTGTCGCCATCTCCAGAGCTCTCTTCATCTTGTACAACTGAAGCTGTACCCATTCAACAGTAACTCCCCACCCCCAGCCACTGCACTGAAACCTCTCTCCGAATCTCATACAAATACATCACAGCGCAGCTTCAGGTGAGTCTAGAAAATGCAGTTGGTAGCTTTTCGGGCTCTGATGGCAGATGGCTCTGAGCTTCCGGTAAGGCCCTAGCAGGGCATATACGAGAGGCTAGGACAGATGCTGAGCGCAGTTCTGCCACATCCACTGTAACTGTCTACCAGTACTGGTCCCGGAATACCCTGGGCAAAGGGTAATTTTAAACAGAGAAACCATATCTAGAAGTGAGTTCTTTGAGTTTGAAACACCAAAGTCGACCTCACTTAACTGTCCCTGTAACTCCCAAGAGAGGCCTATCAGGGTCTCCCATCAACAGTGGGAAACGACATTCTCCAGGCAAAACACCATCAGGGCCAGTCTCAGCTGAAAACCTTACACAGATAAGACCCATAACATTTCCTGCGTTTGCTGCCACGGGACTTGGCTGTCCTTTAACTTTTCTTCGCGTCGAATTGCCTTCTAATTGCCCTTCCTTCTTAAATGGTCGACATGCCACTCTGCCCTCCCAGGCTTTCCTCGTTACCATGTGGTTTCATACTCTCGGCATTTAGTTGTGTTATTGACTGACGAGGGTTTTTAAGGCCCAATTCTCTCTTTGCGACAGCTTGTGAGTTCCCTCCCCCTTTTCCTCAACAAAAAAATGAGGGGACCAAATAGTTACAAATACCAGCGGCTTTCATCCACTTTCAGTATTCCTGTCACCAGCAGTTGTGTCAGTAGCAGAGTACTTTGGTGACAACCAGATTTTGATGCATCAAACTGGCAAAAACCCATGAAAGATGGCAATAATTCCAGCATCAGGTCCAAGTGGGTAAGGATTGTGTTCCTCAAGAACTTTCCCCAAGGGAGAGAGCCTGAGCTCATCCAATGGAAAGACTTAGTATTCAGCAGCCAAGATTTCAAGTCTAACTGCTTTTGGTAGAGGTGTTATATGTTTATCTCAAAATCACCTGGAAATCTCTGGCTCCTTAAGGTAGCTTCCTTAAAATTTTTTTGAGCAATAATATGATAGTCACTCACTTCCCTACACTGATGTTTTCCATTTCCTCAGGCCAGGCCAGCCATTGACACAAAACTAATATTTGATGACAGATGGTTCTGTGAGCGTCTGTTAAGGCCGTATTTCACACTGGAATGCGAGCAATAGCCGAATTCCTCTAGAGTCTTATTTATGATACTATTATTCTGCACAAACTCATTAGATGTAAAACACTCTGCCAATCAACTTGATCCTACTCTTCCCCAGCTGTCACACTGGCAGTGCAAAGATGACGACAGATGATCCAACTGCCATCTCCGCATTCCCCAATTTAATGCCGGATGCTGCTGGGTGTTTTTTTTTTGTGTTCTGTTTTTTTTTAAATATATTTTTATTGATTTCAGAGAGAGGGAGAGGGAGAGAGAGATAGAAGCATCAATGATGAGAGAGTTGTCATTGATGGGCTTCCTCCTGCACGCCCCTGACTGGGGATCGAGCCTGCAACCTGGGCATGTGCCCTGACTGGGAATCGAACTGCAATCTCCTGGATCCTAGGTCAGTGCTCAACCTCTGAGCCACGCCCGGCGGGGCCCAGATGCTTCTTGACCGAGGGGATATGCCAGAGAAAAGAGCGAGGGTGGCACTTTGCAGTATCCCACAGTTTAATCACCATGGTTGTTTACTAATGGCATTCGTAAGGTCCCCGTGGCCAGGTCTTCCCAGCACTTGCGAGCCTTCTTATGGCAACTGTGTGAATCAACTGAAATAAAACTGCGTCTTATCCCCTGGTGCCGTGAGAGTGCTGTCAGCCCTGCAGCTAGTCCCAGCTCTTGGCAAGAACTAGTTCTTTCTCCCTTTCCAGGCATGCCTGCATTGGCCGCAATGCGCAAACATTTCTCATAGGCATTTTTGCATAATAGAAGGAGTAACAACTTATCCAATCACTCATTTAACAAGAGCATTTGTGCTGGGTACTTGGTATGCCCCAGATACTATGCCAGGCCAAACATACGTAGAGATGAATTTGGAGTGTATCCCTGTAAATTGTTTAGGTAATGTTTTAGCTGTTGTGACAAATATGCCCCAAGTACAGTTGCTTTTACTAGATGAAAGTTTCTTTCTCATTAACAGCCCCAAGTTTGGCAGATGCCTTGGCTTTCACATATCCAGAAATCCAGGC